TGTACTTTATCCATCACCCAGAAATAGACTAGGTTCTTGAGAATGCAGTCGTTTTGGACTAGAGCTTCACACCCCTGATTGAGTTGGACATTTCGAGCGTCAGAGCACTTTTTGATTCTTGCACAACTTAAGGAGCAGTGAAGTCCCGTGTTCCCCACAAAGTGATTGCTATAGGCATCAATCTGCATAATGTGTCACAAGAGAAAGACATATATCTAAACATATAGGAGAGGCTTATTCCCTAGAGATCTATAAAGAAGGGCTAGTCTATAGCTTAGTTTATGAAATAACATTAAAGAAGATATATGTAATCCAGTCAAAGCCAGCTATATCTTCAGCCATTTTGTATACATCAACCCTCCTGTTGAAGATAATGGTTATATCGGGATTGGATGATCTGGCCACAGCTCACGACACAAAACTTGCCAACTACAAAGGAAAATGAGTGTAAATATATTTCCATTTTAATTGCATTTTATATGAATATATATTACATATAAAGCATTGCAAAATATGAATTACTCCATCCTGAACTGTTTTGTTTTTAAACCATTTTAGTTTCAAAAACAGGGAATAAGAAAGGGTTGAGCCATATGTACATGGTCCAGATGACAGACATCCGAAGTCTCTCGGAGGTTCTGGGAGACTCATGCATTTTCAATGTGGTTCTCTGACACCCGAAAATTATATACAATATCACTGAAATAACACACACAGTCTGATATATAATGTATACCAGATTGTGTGAGTGATTTCCCAGATATTCTATATGATTTGCGGCCCCCCATGGGTATTATTACTGTACAGGGACCCGACCGGGCCCCTGTAGTATCTGCCGACTGGGAGGAAGTGACAGCACATCACTTCCTCCCAGCTTCACAAAGAGCTGCACGAGAGGGAGGGAGGAGCCTGGAGGGAGTTGGAATGGGTGGCATCACCACAGGAAGAAGCAGGGAGGCAGATGAGAGGCTGGAGTGAGCACCTACATGCTCACTCCCATCAGCCTCAGTCAGCACCAAGACTCCAAACAAACGAAACAAAAAAAGGTAAACTAACACTAGGGTGGCTACAAATAGATAAAAAAAAATATATAACATGTGTCTATGTATGACTGATTGTGTGTTTATCTGTGTGTATGTCAATGTTTGCATTTGTGTGTATGTGACAGTGTGTGTGTGTCTGTGTGTGTGTGTGTCAGTGTATGTATCTGAGTGTATGTGCCAGTGTGTGTGTATATGTGAGTCAGTATATCTGAGTGTGTGTATGTGCCAGTGCGTGTATCAGAATGTACTGAGTGTGTGTGTGTGTTTGTGTACCTAAGTGTGTGTGTGTGAATGTGCCAATGCATGTATCTGTGTGTCAAGGTGTATGTATACAAGGTGCATGTGCCCATGTGTTAGTAGTGTGTGTAAACAGTTGCATTATGCTATTAAATAAATAGTTGTGTTCTGTCATAATAGAATGTCATGTCCTTCTTCATACATGTTTGGTGGCAGTGTGTGTGTCGAGTGGAGTAGGGGATAGTATCTGGTGAAGACACCTTCCTCAAATGAGTTTTTGCATGTTGAGATGTCTGAGATTATATCAGAGAAACTAACACTCTACTGATAATTTATCATATGTATATATAATATTATATACAAACCAAGCGGCTGCATTCACTTGAACATGCATACATTATAGGGTGCTGCTGGGTCCAATTCATGCAAAACACAAGATCCAGCGGACTCGCTCATTCACTAAACATCAATTTCAAGGCTTGCAAAATCTAACAATGCACTTGATCTTGTATCTTGTGTATATATATATATATATATACACACACAGTATCTCACAAAAGTGAGTACACCCCGGTTTCGACATTAATGGCTGTGTGTTGAGTTATTTTGAGGGGACAGTACATTTACACTGTTATACAGGCTGTACACTTACTACTTTACATTGTAACAGAGAGTCATTTCTTCAGTGTTGTCACATGAAAAGATATAATAAAATATTTACAAAAATGTGAGGGGTGTACGTACATTTTATATCTATAAGAGAAGTGAGGCTTTTTTGTAAAATTATTAACATTAAATCTGCCGGACAAACAGATTCATGTTCTTGTTTTACTTGTAATGTTGAGTTAACTTTTTTTTTAATTATATTTCTTATTTTCTTGTTGCTAATTTGGTTTACAGGAAATTGAGATAAATAATAACATTAAATTGAGTCCTAGAACATTGTTTCCTTAATTTTTTATTTAATAGCTGCATATTTGTCTTAATCTGATCCTACCCAAATGATCTTCAAAGACCTTAGCATTTTTTGTTTTATCTTTCACCAGTGAGAATTGTCATGTGAACTCAATGTGTATCTGATTAAAGGGATCTCAATCTTCAAATAATCGGAACGCGTATTTACTAAAACCTTCATGTGAATTATCTGGAATGACGTATAAATGTGTTTCCATGAGAAATATTTAAGTGTTTTCACATATATTTGAATTGATAGCCAGCAGAATAAAAATGACCGAAATGCAGAACAAGAATTACTGAAATGTAATCACGTAATAGCAAGTAATAGCATTTTGCTGCAAGTAATGGTTAACCCTTCACTGCTGTGTGCTATCCATAAAACATATAACATTTATTTGGAATGTGGGATACACTGTTCAGGAGACGACTAAAGATGAAATGATATCTTTTACTTGTCTTTTTAGGAGAATTCAAATCTAAAAGTTAATATTGTCTTCTACGGTTCTTCATCTCCGATTATTCCTAACAAGTTTTCAAACACAAACATAATTTAGTTTTGTATTGCATAACAATATGAAACTAGCATTTCAGCCCATGTAGAATAAAATATTCCCACCCTTGTTTCAGGAATGAAACTAATTTCAATTCCCAATATATAAAAGATAATAAGTGTAGCTACACTCAATGTATGTGAGTATTGCACCCACATACTTACATTACACAATTCCCATAGACACTATGATCCATGACATATAGCAATAAGCCTGGCATTCAACTATTCTCATGTATCTGTGTTTGTCACACTTACTGTGCGTGATATAAATTGTGTTTGTACTTCTATAATAATATTTTAGATACTTATGGTACAACTTTGATATAAAGGACCACCTGTCTCCTGTCTGTCTGTATATCTGTTTTTTCCTTGTTTTTTGTTTTTTAACACCCCAATGATTCTCCACCCACAATCTGCTTTATCTAACCCCAGATTCTCTCCTTTATAGCCTGGGCCCCATACAATATTGAATCAGCTACACCCAGGACTCCCAGCACACAACCCTGCAGGACTTGCCATAAGCAGAGGTAGCATTTCTGGATGATCGCTTCCCACCCACCCTCCCCATGGTTATCATTACATTTATAGATAGCTCAAATTACCTACCTTCCCTGTTAAACCAATTATGTTAGCCTCTGTCCACCAAGCCCTACTCACCCAAAATAGCTATACTCACACAATACCTCTTTAACCCTTAACCCTCCTAACCACAGCTCTTAAAAATACAGCACCTACTCTCCTACTAATGTTCTCACTTCTATTTTTCACTTTCTCTCTCACTTCCCTCATCATTAAAATCTCTCTGTCATTTTACTTATCTGTTCCTACTAACACCATCTTCATTGCTCCCTCTCTGCTCCCCTCATCTCTGTATTCATCACACGCACTTTATTCATACTTATCCAGCCTTTCTCCACAAACCCCTCCTAAATACCCTAAATACAAGCGCTCATCCTCAACATTTAAATCTTACTCCCACCTTCTCTTCCTTTCCATCCTACTACTCCTAGCAGCAGGTGATGTCTCTCCAAACCCTGGTCCCTCCACTACTCAGCCACCTGGTACAAACACCAGAAACCACAACAACCTAATACCCATTCCATGTAATTCTCACTATAATTCCTCTTTTAAAGCTGCCCTCTGGAATGCACGCTCTGTGTGCAGCACCTTTAAATCTACTTCCATCCATGACCTATTTATCTCACACTCCCTAAACCTACTTGCACTAACAGAAACATGGCTCTCTCCCTCTGATACTGCTACACCTGCCTCGCTGTCTTTTGGTGGTCTTCACTTTACCCACAACCCGAGACAAGCAGAGATTAAAGGTGGCGGTGTAGGTTTTCTTCTCTCACCCCACTGCACCTTTAAAACCCTGTCTACCCCCCCTTCCCTCTCTTTCCCATCATTTGAAATTCATTCAATTCGCCTTTTCAAACCCTTCTCTGCTAACATTGCCGTAATCTATCGTCCCCCTGGTTCCCCTCTCCTCTTCCTTGACCACTTTGCTGCCTGGCTACCCTACTTTCTCTCTGCTAACATTCCATCCCTAATTCTTGGAGACTTCAATATTCCTGTTAACCCACCTTTAACCCCAGCAGCCTCTAAACTTCTTTCAATCACTTCCTCCCTTGGACTATTGCAGTGGGCTAATTCTCCTAATCATGTAGCTGGCAATACCCTGGACCTTATTTTCTCTTATTCATGTACAATATCTAATATCTGCAACACTCCATTTCCTCTCTCTGATCACCACCTCTTATCGTTTGCTCTCAATTACCCCCTCACCCAACAATCTCAGCCTAACCCCCCTCAGCTCAGGAGGAACCTTAACTCTATTGACCTCCAGCAGCTGTCAGCTGACATTGATTCACAACTGCTATCCATCCCTTCCCTCTCCTGTCCCTCACTGGCCATCTCCACATATAACACTACCCTCACATCTGCCTTGAACGCTGCAGCCCCTCTCAAAACATGCACCTCGAGGACGGCCCCAACCTTGGCATAATAAATCAACACGCTATCTGCAGAGTTGCTCCCGTTGTGCTGAACGCTCCTGGAGGAAGTCCCACACCCAGGCAGACTTTCTCCATTATAGATTCATGTTGCTTTCATACAGCGCAGCCCTCGCCAAACAGTCATACTTTTTCTCTCTCATTAGTTCATGCTCCCGCAATCCCAGACGTCTCTTTGACACCTTTAATTCCCTTCTCCGCCCTGCTGTGGCCACCCCCCAAACTAACCTTACAGCTGATAGCTTTGCATGCTACTTTACCAACAAGATTGAACAGCTAAGGAAACAATTCTCCCCTCCTTGCCGTTCTCTTTCTCAACCACGTGTAAATCTTGCTTTCCCTACCCTCCAGACTTTCTACCCGGCTACTGAACAAGAGGTGGCTGCGCTTCTCCATTCCTCTCGCCCCACCACTTGCCCGCTCGATCCTGTCCCATCTCACCTCATCAGATCTCTCTCCCCTTGTCTTGTGCCTACCCTAACATACATCTTTAACTGCTCTCTCTCTTCTGGCACTATTGCTGCTGACCTTAAACATGCCACTGTAATACCTATCCTGAAAAAAACATCTCTTGACCCATCCTCCCCTTCTAACTATCGTCCCATATTCCTGCTCCCTTTCTCATCAAAGCTTTTGGAAAGACTTGTCTTTACCCGTGTGTCTCACTTCCTTAATTCCAACTCTCTCCTTGACCCTCTTCAGTTTGGCTTCCGCCCTCTCCACTCTACTGAGACTGCTCTTATCAAAGTGACTAATGACCTAATCTCCGCTAAATCCAAAGGTCACTACTCCATATTAATTCTCCTTGACCTCTCTGCTGCCTTTGACACCGTTGATCATGCTCTCCTCCTTCAAACTCTTCAATCGCTCGGTCTCTGTGACTCTGTCCTCTCTTGGTTTTCCTCCTATCTCTCCCAACGCTCATTCAGTGTCTCCTTTTCCAAGGATACCTCCTCCCCTCGTCCTGTCTCGGTTGGAGTTCCCCAAGGGTCTGTCCTTGGTCCCCTCCTATTTTCTCTTTATACTGCCTCTCTAGGTAAACTTATTGCCTCTTTTGGATTCCACTACCACCTGTACGCTGATGACACTCAGATATACCTCTCCTCCCCGGACCTCTCCCCTGCCGTCCTGCAATGTGTCACTGCTTGCCTTTCTTCCATCTCTGACTGGATGTCCTCACGCTTTCTGAAACTTAACCTCTCTAAAACTGAACTCCTTGTCTTTCCTCCTCCTAATACTGATCCTCCTCTCTCGCTCTACCTTCAACTCAGTGATATCCACATAAGACCATCCCTGCAAGCACGCTGTCTTGGCGTCATACTTGACTCTGGTCTCACCTTTGAGCCTCACATCCAGTTTGTTGCCAAGTCCTGCAGGTTCCAACTCAAAAACATAGCCCGCATCCGCCCCTTTCTTACGCAAGATGCTATCCATGCTCTAGTAATTTCCCGCATGGATTACTGTAACCCTCTCCTGATTGGTCTCCCCAAAAGCCATATTGCCCCGCTACAGTCTGTCATGAATGCTGCAGCTAGACTGATCTTCCTCTCTAGTCGGTCCTCTCACACCTCACCCCTCTGCCAGTCCTTACATTGGCTCCCTGTATGCTATAGGAGTCAATTCAAAGTGCTAACCCACACATTTAAAGCACTGAACAATTCTAGCCCCTCTTATATCTCTTCACTAATCCATAGATATGCCCCTCCTCGTACCCTCCACTCTGCCCGTGACCACCTCCTGACCACTGCTCGCACCCGTACGGCCAACTTGCGCTTGCAGGACCTCTCGCGGGCGGCTCCTCTCCTATGGAATAGCTTGCCTACTGCCATCAGACTCTCCCCTAGTCTTCAATCATTTAAGAAGGGCCTTAAAACCCATCTCTTCAGGAAAGCTTATGGCCTCCCAGAGTAATCTCTACCTTACATACCTGTCTCCTGCTCTCTCCTATGGGACAGTGCTTTGCTCTCTCCTCCAACTCTGCTTCACTCCTACTTGATATTTCTTGTCCTAATGTTTCTAATACCCCACCTCCTATAGTCTGTAAGCTCATTTGAGCAGGGTCCTCTTCAACCTATTGTTCCTGTAAGTTTTCTTGTAATTGTCCTATTTATTGTTACATCCCCCCTCTCAAAATATTGTAAACCGCTATGGAATCTGTTGGCGCTATATAAATGATAATAATAATAATAATAATAATAATTATCTATCTATCTGTCTGTCTATCTGTCCGTCTGTCTGTCTATCTATCTGTCTGTCTGTCTGTCTGTCTATCTGTCTGTCTTCTCGCAATGCATTCTGTAATATCCTGGAAGCTAATTCTGGATTTAAATTTTGTTCAGATGCTAACTTGATTCCCACTGTAAAGAATATTGATCTGTACTTAGTAGCACTAAAATAGTTTTTGTTCTGGGTAAAGTAAACCTGTTTGGGGTCACAGGTACTAGAATTGTTACTAAATCCCCATCTATGTATATCAGTTTATTTGTCTCAATAAGTCATATAACTATTTAATTTCTAACATGGTTAATATATCTAACCATTGTAGCCCTTAAACTATGCAGAGTGTAATGACCATATTAGTTCAGATTGAGCTGAGCCGAATCACTGCTCCGTGGACAGTGACAGAGGAACGAGAATTATCAACAGCAACTCAGCGTTCCCAAAGACCACACACTACAATGACAAAAAGGTCCTGCTCGACTTACTTCTAATCAACAAGTTTATCTGTAACACGTAACAGCAAGGTCTTTGTTTAATTTTATGTATCTCTTCTACGTTGTACTTGCCTTTGGATAAAGAAACGTCAAAATTAATTTTTTTTTGTTTCCATTTTAAACACGTCTTGACCTTTCTGTGAACTGCGGCTGTGATTTCTATAGATCTTAGTGAAACGGTTGAGTGATTTTTATGAGACTATCTGAAGTGGCGATCCTACAAATATTTATAACCGAGCTCTGTAGAAATATCATCCATAAGTTTCAGGCTTTAGTGTTGGAATCGATGATATAATGTTCCTACCTGCAGAGCACAAGCATTCTGTCACAATTAGTCTTTAGAGGAACCGGCGCATTTTAGCTATAAAACAACCTGCAGGGGCAATTATATTGTTATCAAAATGTCTGGAATTACATTCTGTGTGAAGATTCCAAACATGTTCTGAAAGGGAGGAAATGGAATCCTGTGCGTTGTAAGATAGTTTGCATTGTTACTGTAACATGGAGTCACTGGAGTCCTTAATCACGACGGAGTCCCCACATTATGTGATGTAGCAGGTGCTGAACTTGCTAAGCTCTCTGGTTTGCTGCCTGGAGTAACAGCCAGTGGGTGGGCACGGTGGTATAAAACATACAGACGTATTCTGGTCCCTTCATTTTCTGTCCATTAGCTATGGAATTCCCTTTAATTCTGTACTTTGCCAACTGTCCCATTACTCCATGCTAATATTTTTATATTTGTTTGCCAAGTTATGGTTATGTTAGCCCCCGCCCCCCTAACTCCTCATCCCCTATAACCTTCCTCTGAGGTCTCCCATCTACTGTGCTCGCTCCTCCCAAACAACCCTCTCCACCTCACGTAATTGTCCCACATCCCTTTATATTGTGAGTTTGTTTGTTGGGCCGTCTTTGTGATGAAATAAACCCACAGCTCTGCCTGTTCCTGTTTTGACCCTCAACACAGAGTCTTGTCTCGTTCTTGGGATTTATTGTATGCTGCTCCAGTTCGACTGCTAGGCGTGTAAACCTATTCGTATGTTTTTTCCTATTCGGCTGTTTACAGCATTCGTATGTTTGAGAGCATTCGTATGCTTCTCCGGTTCGGTGGATTGGTGTCTACAGTAGCTGCCTGTATATCTGGAAGGGAGTCCTTTGCAGAGCCTGACTTCGGGAGCCCTCCGCAGACCAGACTTCAGGACATTTTCTACGAGAGGGAGGCTAGGCATGACTGGGATGACCTCCATGAGGTAGAGCAAGACCTGGCTCACCTAGCAACCCTGGAGTGGGAACTGGAGCAGGACTTCCGAGATCTCTTCCACTCCATTGGGAAGGTTCAGCAGGACAGCAAGGTGACAGACCCAGATCCAGACCAATTCAGCTGGGAAGATATTGTGGAGATTTACTGGGAAGAACCCCAGGTGGCCGGTGGAGATGGGACCGAGGTCTCCCCACCGGTCCTGCAGGGAATTGGGAGCCCACTCTCCATTCCCCAGCGGCAGGCTGAGTTACAGGGGGCAGAGACAGTTGGTCCTGTCCCCCAGCGGCAGAGTGATTTATTTGGAATTGTAAGCCTAGTCTCCAATCCCCAGTGTCAGGCTGAGTTACAGGGGGCAGAGACAGCTGGTTCTGTGAATTGCAGGGAATTGGGAGGGAATTGGGAGCCCAGTCTCCATTCCCCAGTGGCAGAGCAATGTACAGGGAATTGGGAGCCCAGTCTCCATTCCCCAGCCGCAGAGCAATGTACAGGGAATTGGGAGCCCAGTCTCCATTCCCCAGCGGCAGGCTGAGCTACCGGTGGCAGAGACGGTCAGTCCTGTCCCCTAGCAACAGGGCTGTTTAGCCAAAGGGGAGACAGTCAGTCTCCCCCTCCAGCAGCAGAGCTGTGTATCCAAAGGGGAGACAGTCGGTCATCCCCTCCAGCAGCAGAGCTGTGTATCTAAAGGGGAGAAAGTCAGTCTCCCCCTCCAGCAGAAGAGCTGTGTATCCAAAGGGGAGACAGTCGGTCTCCCCCTCCAACAACCAGGCATCAACCAGGCTACTTCCGTGGTGGAGTACCACTGGTCTCTGCCCACTCAGCAACCCACCAAGGCAGCCTATCAGTACCCCGCAGAGCCGTGGTGAGGCACCTGGACATGGACAAGTTTCTCCTCTACCCAGGTGTAGTAACCAGTTATTGTGGTTGGGCAGTACTGCTGATTGTGTTTTGTGGGTGGGCTGCTGGACTAAAGAGGGCACTGACCGGCAGACCCTGTTAGTCTGTTTGGAAAAGGGGAGAGATGTGACAAGACCAATCTCGCCACTGTGCATTGGAGGAGCCTGGTTGCCCACCTGCTGCCTTTAGACTATGGCCCCATGTTGAAACGCTTGATTTTCCCCTGCAAAGATACGAAAGCCAGGTCATTCGGTACTTGCCCTATTTGAACAGTGATACCCCAGATAGCTATGCCTATCCCCCCACAACAGGGCTGTTTAGCCAAAGAGTAGACAGTCGGTCTCCTCCTTCGTCAGCAGAGCTGTGTATCCAAAGGGGAGACAGTCGGTCTCTCCCTCCGGCAGCAGAGCCGTGCACCTAAAGGGGAGACAGTCAGTTTCCAGCAACCAGGCTCCAACCAGACTACTCCGTTGGTAGTAGTGGCACCAGGACAGAGTACCGCTGGTCTCTGCCCACTCAGCAACCCACCAAGGCAGCCTACCAGTTCCCCACTCAGCCGTGGTGAGGCACCTGGACATGGACAAGGTTCTCCCCTACCCAGGTGT